AAGGATTGGCTGGATTTAAACTGCTTCTAATGAGGGCTGAAGGTTTAGATAAAACCAGTGCAACAAATCTACAGGTTCATGAGCTGGAGAGGTCGAAGCGGGCCATGGAGCAGCAGCTGGAGGAGATGAGGCTTCAGCTGGAGGAGCTGGAGGACGAGCTGCAGCTCACAGAGGACGCCAAGCTGCGTCTGGAGGTCAACATGCAGGCCATGAAGGCCCAGTTCGATCGAGACCTGCAGGGCCGAGACGAGCAGGGAGAGGAGAGGAGGAAGCAGCTCGTCAAACAGGTGGAAGGCCGGAAACCACGGCTAACGTCTTCCTTCATTCTTACATGTGATGTTTTGATTGAAACTTCTCTTGTTCTCCAAGGTTCGCGAAATGGAGCTTGAGCTGGAAGACGAACGCAGACAGCGTACCCAGGCCCTCTCCTCCAAAAAGAAACTGGAGATGGATCTGGCAGAGCTGGAAGCACAGATCGATTCTGCAAACAAAGGTCGGGATGACGCTCTGAAGCAGCTGAAGAAACTCCAGGTAGAGGAAGCAGCCATGTTTTAGGTTCTATGAACTGAGATCACTGATCTTTATTTTTTCTCTGGATTTGTGATCGCCCGTTGGTAGTACGGGGTTGAAGTGAAGCCACCGGCCGCCATATTGGTACTCCCTAGTTAGACCAGTCGCAATATAAAGATTAGATTAGATGAGCTTTATTGATCTCACTGCGGAGAAATTCACTCGTCACATATTGGCATAGTAATTAAAGAAGGTGCAAACAAGGAGGAAAAGGGTGCATTAATAATAATAATAATAATAAACAATATGTGCGCTACAGCATCAGACAACGACTTTTAAAATAAAGATACATTCATCACCTTGACACAGACTTCCTGTTTCATAGCATAAGTAGATATCGTAATTTATGATAAAAAAAAATAAGCACATTGCATAGTCATTATGAAGTCAATGAAGTCTCTAAATCATGTAATATAACACATTATACAAATCCATCATAACAAAGTTAACGTGTTAATGGAGCATAATAATACAGATGTGCCAAAAGTGCTAAATTGATGATCTACCTGTAATACAGTGAACCCTCGTTTATCGCGGGGGTTACGTTCCAAAAAGAACCCGCGATAGGTGAAATCCGTGAAGTAGAAACGTTTATTTTTTTACAGTTATTATACAATGAAATACTCCATACAACATTGAAATCAAGGAACAAAAACTTTTTACAGGCCCAAGCATTTGTTTAACAAATAAAAGTACGGTATAAACGTTAACTACTTTACTGTACTATAAAATAATATAGTTATAAATAAATAAGTAATAATTTTAATCTGCAATACGAAATGAAGGGTTAAAATTGCGGGTATCAGCACCGCCCCGCCGTGACGGATTGGAACGGGAGAAAATGAAAAATGACTATTTGTCCTACTGTACTTTGTATTTTTTTTTTTTTCATAGTGATTGACGTGTACACTACAGTATTTCACTGCTGTTCTGACGGAGCCGCTGCATCCTGACTCTGTTTTTTGGAGAGAAGAACATAGTTATCGGTAGTTGTTGTCGCTCTTTTTTTCTTCCGGGCCAAAAGATCCTTATAAACCGACATGCCACCATTAATATGTTTGACAATAAAGTTTAACAATGCATGATGCAAATCCGTGAAGCAGCGAGACCGTGAAAAGTGAACCGCGTTATAGCGAGGGTTCCCTGTATTCATCACATTTTTACATAAAGACTGCATTACAAGCACATGTCTCTTAATTCTGTAGTAATTTTCAAATTGTACATGAATGATGCCATACACTTTGATTCTGTGCCAGCGATGGGGGATCTGGAGTCATCAAGTCATCTCTGTCATGCATTTGTTCTGACCAGGTGAGTCCAATCCAGTCAAACCAGATTGGACTCACCTGGTTCAGTGGCTGGGTAGAACAAAGAGATGACTTGTTGACTCCAGATCCCCCACCGCTGGTCTGTGCATTGGCCTTTAAATCTGGCAGATTTACAATAGAGCTCAATTTATGAACCAATTTAAAGGAAAATTCCGGTTTTTAACACTTTTAGCCCATTTTCTGTAGTGTCCAG